ATCGATTAATTCTTGGAAGTTGATTCAACTCCAACGTACAAAATACTCATCTAAGTCAACCAATCGATTCTTGGAAGTTGATTCAACTTCAACAACGTCGTCTGGTGCGGGGAAGTTTAATTCCAACAACGTCTAGTTAGGGGACGTTGGAACGTGCTGATGCCTCCCATATCGCAAACTAATTAATGATAGTGATATATGCTAAAAACAGCAATAATTGAACTCCAAGAGTTTGATGTATTACGATAATTGTTGTCATGGAACCAGGAAGCACCGATTACGTCGATTAAATTATGCAAAGGAGCAAAGTAAGCTTGATTAAGTACGCCTGACAATAAATTTTGAGTCAACAGTAACCTAAATTATAACGGTCTTTATTACACTTTTTATTTATTTTTAATAGTTTGATTTTTTATTTTTTAAAATAAATTTTAAATAAAAATTTAACATATTATATAAATAATAATTAAAATTTTTTTATCAAATAAAAATACTCAACAAAAATTTTATATAAGAAAAAAAAAATTCAATTATTATTCATATAAATTGTTAAATTTTTATTTAAAAATTTATGTCTAAAAAATTAAAAAATGAAATTAGAACTGTTAAAAATGAACAGAAAGAATATACATTTTTTTCCTGATCAGGGGAAATGACAATGGTATAGAGAAAAAAACCAAGAAATTAAAAAGAAAAAAAAATGAAAAAGTCTATTACAGTTTAATTATTATTCCTATCATGAAAAAGATTTTTTTTTTTTATTTCTTTTTTAAAGGGTAAAAGGAAAACAGCAAAAGGACTAATTATTGACAAAATAATAAGAGAAAATCGGTGCATTTTTGGCACGCAAGAACGATGTCTATGGAAGATTTCTTACTTCGGTACTGTAGCTAGGTCATACATGTGCATAAATATATAGGGTCCTAGTGTACGTACCAAATACTCATCAAGTCAACCAATCGAATCTTGGAAGATGTTAGTGCGGGGAAGTTTAATACCAACGTCTAGTGTGGGACGTTGGAACATGTTTAACGCCCAATATGAACTAATTATCAATTGTGATATATATATATATGCGCTAAAGAGAACAACAATATATGAGAGCTCTTTTCTGGTTTAGTGATTATTATTTTTTTATTAGGTGTTTTTCATATTAAAATTTAGAAGTGTGGGATTGAGTTTCACCTTCAACATTAAAAAAAAAAAAAAACAACAACAACAACAATGTATAAAATCTCAAAAGATATATTTATTGATAAATAAATATTATTTTATAAATTAAATTTAAAGTTTAAGTTTTGATGTTAATATTAAAAAATAATTTTTTTAAATATATCATGTTGATATAAGATAGTTGAATACTCTCTTAAAATCACCTTACGTTTTGCAAAAGTTGACTCAAAAATATCTAACACTAAGCCGGGTAGGGCAAGTTTTATCAGATTAGAAATGTTTCATGCATGGCTACTTAATTTGAAATGAATTTGGACAAAGTCATACTCAGATCAAAGACATGAACATGAATTTTGCAGGGATGGCTCACACACTCGAAAGTTTCCAGTAAGGTATGGCGAGGGTTAGAATAATTCGTTTCCTTTGCTTCATCTGATTGTAGGACATGCAAAACAAGATGATGCCTAACTAATCAAGGTTAGAGCAACAACAAACTGTTGCTTGCATAGGACATCACTGTATGATACATTATTTATATAAAATTTTAATCATTTATCTCTTCATTAAGAATGCTAATTACTTGATTAATAATGTTAGAGATGTTTGTAGAACTCTTATAAAGGATAAAACAAAAATCTCATTTTAAATTTAACGAACCAATATGTCTACCCAAATCAAATAATAATTAAAATAATTAAAAAAAAGGTGAAATCCACCACCACCCTGCAAGTTCCGGCGTTGATTTGCACCTTTCGTCAACCAACACCAGTGCTGAACATACAATCGAAAATGTAGATGCAATTTGGTCTTACCAAAAATGATTATTACTGTAATCAACAATTACTTTTGTATTAATCTCAAAATTAAGTTTTACCATATTGTAAGGCTTGCGCAAAAATGAATATCCTACTTTGATTCTGGAGGAATGGGGAGGGTACCATGCTGTACAAGAGACTGTTACACTTGGGAGATAGCAAGCACACTCTCCAGCTCAATGCTCCCAGCAATAAGCAAGAATGAAAACAAGCCATCATTTTGCAAGGGATGCTTTAAGCTAGGTAGAGAATGAAGCCGCAGGCAGAATCACTGTAAGTTACAATATATACAGTAAGCAATCAAGTTAAATTTGGGATGTTGCGATGACCATCAGCAAACTCTCGGATTAAACGTTTCAAAACTCTCCCACCCTTCCCTTGCATATGCCCATAATCACTCTTTACTCCATTGCAGCTCTTGCTCTCCAGATAATCTGAGGCTGCACCACCAAGGGCATTTAACCAAATGGGCACCAAAGTTTCTACCTCTCCTTGCCTGAGATACTCAACTGGAAGAGCCTGCACCTGCAAAACTAGAAAATTTAACTCATCAGGCAGAATTGAAACAAAGCAATATAGATGAACATGCTAAATGGACACATGAACTGGCATTTGGAACATATGCAAAAATAGCTCCACATGAGAGAGAGAGAGAGATACCGCTGCAAGTAACCAAGCATGCAAAGATTCCCAACCAAGAATGGCCTTCCAGATTGTTCTCTCACTCAAGCTACAAATTGCAGCCAATTGTTGCAAGATCGTTGCACATTTGTGAACCTATAGAGAGAAAGCATGAGAATATATTTTGTCAGCAGAATTGAGAACATCAAATATCAGAAAAATACCAATTATGCAAGAGATGCCTGGAAGTACCAAAAACGATGACAAATTTAAACCAGTTGCTAGTAAATTAAAACTTTTTTATCTTCTTTTATCAATCAACTTCTCAATTATTATTAAAATCTAGTTAATTTATAATTTCAATAAATTAACTCCTAATAAAGAGTAAAATTGTAATTTCAGGAAAAAAATAATAGAGTTTTGGCCTATTTGATGATACTGAGTTTTTAAGGGACTTGGCTAAGAAATAAAAGTTGGAAGAGCTTTAATTGGCCGAGACATTGACATTGCTTAGTGGTTTGAAAAATTATTAAAAGTTTGAGGGCTCAAAATGAGGTCTTCCCGAAGGAAAACGAAAAATTGGTCTGAAAGTAATCAGCTGGATTAAACTCAACCACGCATGGCCTAAATCTGAAAGGCCCACCGTCTAGGCTGTCTAAGACCTAAAAGCTTATAAAACTATATAACATATGCTACTTTTGAATCAACATCTTTTTCTAAGAGAGTTAAAAAACAGGACAAGTAATTTAGATAGAATCCACCCTTGAAGGTAAGGAAATTTGAAACTTCAATACCTGCCCAAATTCATTTTTTATTACTTCCAAAACTTGTGGCCCCATTATAAAATACTGCAGCAGATATTAAAGATTTGGGACAATTTAAGTTTATGGAGTCCAGTATCTATCTGCCACTTAAGGGCCTGTTTGGTTTGAGGAAAATGGAGGGGAGGGGAGGAGAGACAATATCCTTCCATTTCCCTCCCCTCCCTTCCCCTATTTGCATATGTTAAAATGTACAAAGGAAATTAAAGCAAAACTTAGAAGGGAAGCCAAAAGTTAGCTTACACCAAAGAGGAGGAGAAAAAACAACATAAATCACATGCAATTGACATGGATCTAGTCCGCAAAAGATGCACAATAATATGCGGACATTATCTGTTTGTGGTTGAAGGATCTTGAATTTACCCGTGACATTGCAGAAACACCAAGTAAAGCATAGACTATATTTGATACAAGTCCCTCCCCACTGTGAGAGATGACGTGAATGGCTATTGTACTGAATGATCCTTCGGATTCCAATAAAGAAGACAAGCCTATCTCCAGAAAACCTAAAAGCCCCAAAATGAAACAAATTACAATCTTTTACATAGATCCAAAACCAAATGTGAAAAATTTGCAAGACATAGCAAGGTCATCACCCAATAAAAGAATCACATAGAGAATACAGCAAGATGCATATCCACATGAGTTTGCACCATCGCACAATAACCCTTTCTAAGATGAAAAAGAAAAATAGCATATACTTAAAATAGACACATGGCTAGGAAACACAAAAAAATTGAACCGTGTTTACAGTCAATGACACTGCTGAAATTAAATAAGCATCTAAATGCCACAAAAAGTGTGTTTTACATGATGATTACATCTACCATAATCATCCTCAGTGTCAAATGTGTGGGTATATTTCCAAATTTCAAAACTAACCATTATTGAAATGAGAAAAGTATCAATGTATTTGAACATCAGACTTGGGGGTAATTCTAGAACATAGGAAGTGTGCTTGCATGTCAGATTGTAGAAAGAGCATGTTACTACTCCCTCCTATTTTAGATGTTACCAACACAAAGATTGAGAAAGAAGGATCAGCCAGTAAATTCCACTTACAAGACAAATATGACATAGCTGCAAGTGCTGCACCACGATGCATAGCAGTGCACCATATTGCTGCCTTTTGAAAGGAAATTTCAAGAATGGCACCTGATGCAGCCAATACTTCCTGAGATGCATAAGAGAGACGCAGATGTCATTAAAATTATTACCTACAAAAAGCGACTGCATAAAATGCTTAAAAAGGACAGTCTCCTTATTTATATTCAATATAAGATGAAAGCAAGGGAAAAGATGATAAGTTGTGAATTAGAGAGTATACTAAACCTTACGGGTACCACGAACAAAGATTGATGCAAAATTTGTGTAGGCCTCCACTAGGTCAGGCTCTTGATCACATATATACGAAGAATTAAGACCCATTACTGATGACGCTTGTGTAAATCGTTCAAAAGTGGTGATAAACAAAGGAGCATACTCTTCCTTATGGCCAAACTCTTCAATAACCACAGATGCTAACACAATTGGTATGCACCCAAAGCAAATGATTAGGTAAGAAAAATAAGCTCATAGAATGGGGTTATTTTCCACAATTACAGAGACATGTGCAGATCTGTTGATGTCAAAGGTTCATAAACTAAATTGAACTTCTGATATATCATAAAAACACTTTATAAGCTAGCCCTGGGAAAATGGCTCAAAACAGGCAAAAGACAAGAACTTGTCCAGATTTACCAATGTAGTGCATAGACTATCCTTCTGCTGAATTAAGGATGCAACCTCTAATTTTTTATTCAAGGTCAAATTAATAGAAACCATTAGTTCCAAAAAATTTGGATAACATGGCATTTTAGTCTGATTTATGCTATGAAGATTGTGTCCTTAAAAGCCCCCCCCCCCCAAAAAAAAAAAAGAGGCCCAATGCTTTACATTCATAAAGCTGAGCTTGCCAACATCAATATTGCCTATTTTCCCATCAGAAAAGAGTTCCCATAGAAACCTATGTACTCTTCACCATAAAGGAATCCTTGACTGATGAGATAATTAGAGTTTTGGGGTTTTTAATGCATAGAAATCCTACACCAGGGCAAAATTGTTTTATTATAAACATAAGATTCCTTGATTTGAAACTATCCGTTCAACTTTAGGGGGATTCATCATATTAATACAATCCAAAGAGCTATATTGAGTACATATCAATTTCTTAAACCAGCATTGCCAATAGTGCCTTAACTTATCTCTCCACCGTTGCCACTATTTACAACCTCCTAGTGTGGCAGATTTTGAGCATGTTTGGGTTAGCTTGTAAGAGCTTTTACTTTTTTTGTACTGTTCATGAGTGATAAGTTTAAATTTTTATCAGAGGGAAAATTTAAAAGTTGTTTTTAGAGATAGAAAAAAGTAAGTAAAAAAGGAGTTTATGAAAAGCTTGGATTTGAAGCTTTTGAGCTTTTACTGTTTGAGATCTTTTTAAGGTTAAAAAAAGGTTTAAAAATGTAAGTTTTTAAGAGGGAAATTTAAATTTATGAAACATGAATAGTGTCAAAAAGCTGAAGCACTTGGAAGCTAAACCAAACATGCCCTTTATTTAGCAGCCACTATTCCTATAGCATATAGCAGCCGCTATTAATGCTATATGCATTTTTTACGAAAATACATAAAATAATTCTTTAACCAATCAGATCCATTTTTAAGGGTATATGTATTAACGCTATTTCTCACAGAACTGATCAGGATTTCCTCCTGGTTTGCTGGCAACCTCTTTGCCCAAGGACCTTGAGCTGCAAGTGAGGGAAAAGGGCAGGCTACAGCATTCTTCAAAGAGAGCAGGGAGACATTGGGATACCATCAGATGTTAGGGTTTATTGCTACTTCAGGATTTTTGTGCTTTTTTTAATAGAATTAAAGCCAAAAGTAACAATATATCCCTAAAAAATATGATTGGTTGAAGAATTTTTTTTCCTATCCTTTCATCAAAAATACAGATAGTGTTGATGGCAGCCACTAAATGCTATGGGAATAGCGGCCTCTAAATAAAATCTGCCATGCTATAGAGGCTGTCATTGTCACAATGTTTAAGGGCACTAACCTATGGCAACCATTTACAAAACTGGCAGCTATCCAAAGTAAAACACTCAAGAAATAGCGGCAATGCAGGAGGGTGCTATGCTATGGAGCTATTACCAAGACTGGCAACTATCCAAAGTAAAACATTCAAGAAAGACCATCCTTGGAAGATACCGAATTACATTACAAGCTATCAAGTATAAGCCAAACAATTTACCTGTTCTGACATAGCAATCATGACTTTGAAAGGACAAAAAGTTTGATGATAGCCAATCAAGTATTTTGGGAAGTAGCACCATACATTGTTGGCCTGCATAGTTTGTAACGCAATTAGAAGACTCCATGATCTTCCAATATAACCCCAATCACAGGATATGATAAAGAAATGCAGAAAGCAAAACAAAAGAACCCCCAGTACCAGAGGACTGAATTGCTAGTGAAAGGGCCCGGCAAGCAGCAGCGGATAAACTACCATTTTCCATGTGTTCTGACCTAAAGAGTTTTTCCAACATAGGCCAAAAAATCCTAAGTAGTCCAAGAATAGGATCATCACTGGAGGGCTCACTTGGCAAAGGTGATATAAGATGACTGAATACAATTCCCATCCTGAAAATCAGACAACCAACAGCATAGCTCAAATTCAAAGAACAAAGTATCACACCTAAATCCCCACATAGGCTCTAACTTGCACCAATGCAAATAGAATTGCATGTCCAAACAGCAAACCTGTGAAGCCCTCTTGTTGCAGAGTTCAAAACTTGGGTATATAGAGCTGGATTTTGTCTCAGAGAATGGTTGTCATCATCAATCTGTTAATCAATATTAGAAAGTTTTCCTGTCAGACATCAAATCAAAATAATTAAATTGATATGCTAAAGATTTTCATGCATAGAACTCATTTAATGAGATCTAAACCATAATTCTTATTTATTCTAAAATTTTGATGCATGGAGGTTCTGTGTGCTCCCCAACTTAAACAGGAGGCACAAAGAACCCTTGAGGAAAATCAAGCACCTATATATTCCACAGCCCCAGTGGAATTCAAAAACAAAAGAAAATGCCTTAAATTAGTTAGGGATTGACATGGTAAGAAACTAGAAGCATCTAAGATCCTCCATCAAGTATCATTCCAGTGAAATCTAGACTAGAAAGAATATAGAAGTTGGTCTCAATGCAATTTGCATTCAAAATCATTTCACGCTAGAGACCTTTCAGCTAGAGTCCAAACAGCTGATAGTCTGATATCGCTTTTCTTCACTACATTCATAGATTCTGTGGACTACATATCTCGCCATTGCTTCTAATTGAAAATGATGTGTTGATGACTAAATATTGCAGGAGAAAATGTAATTTCATCAAAATTAGATTGGAACAGAACTTTGTCAACTGATTCAGTATCCCATAATGGATCCTCAATTCCCAAGCATTTATTAAGTTTAAAGGCAGACTATTTATCAAAGTGAATCTTGCAGAATGCTTGTGATAAGGTGAGTACCTAGAATAATAGAACACATTAACCATGATACCAAAACAATATCATGAAAACTAATGAAAGGAAAAAGGTAGACGACTTACAAGTTTTTTGACAGCTTCATAGCTAGAAGATAGCAACCTAGTCAATAAAGCATTCTGTAGCTCCCTGTTGGAAACAGACCCAAGAATTGCACTAATTGCACTAACAATTTCCACTTCATCTTCCAAAGGAAGATGCCTCTTCTCTAGAGCCTGAGAAAAGCAACAATAGAAAAATAGAAAGCAGAGTACAAATGAAAATCTACAAAAAAGCAGTAGAATGTCAGAGCTAAATGCTCCATTCAAGTGATGTAGAAAGGAAAAGCAAAAAACAATCATATGAAAAAATAAAACCATGACCAATTCTGTTCATGTTGAGTTATTCTTGGTAAATGAAGCACTAATAGATCCATCAACTTCAACAATACATGCATGTGGACCAAATGGAAAAAGAAATATATAAATATATATATATATATAGATATGCATGTAGGTCAAAATAGAATCAGAGAACAAAGGCAGGACTAATGACAAATCACATCTGACCATTTAAAAGAGCCCCAT